TAAATCACACACACAGATTCACAGCCGCACACAGAGCACACAGACGATTACACACAGCTGATGACATCGTTCATGGGTCCTGGGTCTTTCCCACCCACACGATCCAGTTTCAGATGGCCCTGGATCTGAACCTGAATCCAGGTTCAGATGACCCTGGAGACAAACTTCCAGGTCCAAGCCCTAAAATCATATCTCTGTGTATGTGAACTTGAATGTGCACTTATGACCACATGTAACCACATACAGCTCCAGTCACAGACAGAAGCACTCATAGGCTGACATGAATTTTGTACAAACAGAAAAGCTGTAGTCTCTTTCTCTCTCTCTCTCTCTCTCTCTCTCTCTCACACACACACACACACACACACACACAACAGCATTTCAGCAAATGGCTGCACACAGCCGTGTACACACACAGCTAGTCACAAATCAAGTCAGAAAAGAAACATACAGGGAAAGCATATACCAGCACACCAACACAAAGCACAGGAATGCAGAGTACACTTACTATCGTTGCAAAGAAAAAATCCAGAAACTACATGGAAAGCTACACAAGGAAGAAACAGGAGAACCAGATAGTACTCATACCACGGCACCAGAAGAAACACCCCGAGGGCACACATACCTGCAGCCACTCATTAAGGAGAGACACAAATACAGCAGCAGACACACAAAGACACGTGCGCACAGATACACACATAGGAGGGACAAGTACTCTGATGACACACTCGTCACCCATGACTATTACAAAGGAGACAAACACCCAAGCAACACACGCACACAACAACATATAGATGAACTGCGCGGACAGACAGTACCAATGCACACGGTTGCCAAAAGAAAAAAAAAAAAAGCATGAGTTGGGCCGGGCGCAGTGGCTCATGACTGTAATCCCAGCACTTTGGGAGGCCAAGGCAGGTGAATCACGAGGTCAGGAGTTCGAGATCAGCCTGGCCAACGTGGCGAAACATCGTCTCTACTAAAAATACAAAAAGAAATTAGCTGGGCATGGTGGCGGGTGCCTGTAATCCCAGCTACTCGGGAGGCTGAGGCAAGAGAATTGCTTGAACCTGGAAGTCGGAGGTTGCAGTGAGCTGAGATCTCGCCACTGCACTCCGGCCCAGGTGACAGAGTGAGACGCCATCTAAAAAAAAAAAAAAAAAAAAAAAAACACAGGTTGGGCAGGCGACTGTAGACAGAACACAGCACCAGACAAGTTACATAGGAAGACGCAGGCACAGCTCACATATATGTGGCTGTGGCTGAGAACAGGCAGGTGAGATACACTTAGCATATTCACACACACGCGTGCACACACACATACACACACTTCTGCCCAGCCTCCTCCAGCCTCCGTCTCCTTTCCTATCTACTCTGATTTCTCTCTCCCCTCATACCCCTCCCCCACCCAGAGCCATTACACATCTGTGCTACCGGCTGGCCAGGGAAAGAGACACCTGTCACCAGAGGCTGTGACCCAGGTGGCTAAAGGTGGGGGGCGGGGATGCAGGTATCCATATTTCAAGTCTGAAGTGTCCCGTCCAAATAACTAGCATACCTTATTTGGATTTAAAAAATAAAAGACAACCCCCCTCCCCTCTGCATCCATTTGCCACCTCCCTGCCACAGCCTCCTGCTCTGATTGCTCCCCTTCCCTCCCAGGGCCTGCCCCCACTGGCCTTCCAACATGGACCAACACAGGGCTACCAGGCACACAGCAGGTGCTCAACAAAGGCCACTTATCTAATGTCGTATTATTATCATTACTTTTATTTCTGCCAAAGGAACTCTTCTAGGGGAGAGATGAACCTCCATCCAGCTCTAAGAACCCCACAGCTCCCATAAGTTTCAGGGCACTGCAGATAGCAGGTGCTCAGCATAAGCCGGTATGGCAGTGGGAAAACAAAGGGAAAGTGTGATCTGGCTGCGTACAGGAACCTGCTTTAGAAGGAACAGATGTCTTTAAGCAGGACCCAGGCCTTGAGGCTGTGCCAGGGATAAGAAAACTTTATTAGTTCATCAAAGTAGGGCTCCTTCTCAGGGTCATTTAAGGTTTGTGTTGGTTCAGTAAAGCAGACCCTTGTGTGACACATGGGAGTCCCGTGAAATCTGTTAAAAGTCACTTTGGGTTATCGTCAGTTCTAAGGAGACCTTTGATTAAAACAGCTCACTGCCCGGTAGCATCCAGGGGAGGGAGGGACACAGTGAAGCAGTTAACAGCAAAAGCTTTCTCAGCTCTGCCACTTATTAGCTGTGTGGCTAAACAAGCAAATTCCTAAACCTCACTGAGTCTCAGCTTCCTCAAGGGCCTAATAACGCCTAACTCATTGGGCTATTGAGACAATTAATTAACACAGGCAAAGCACTTAAGACAATGCTTTACACATAGTAATTGCTCAATACATATTTGTGGGAGGAATTAATGATTTCTTCTCTGTGAAAGCAAAGTCCCACTTGCTCGGCTGCATATGGGATTCCGATCTGTCCTTTCATGCAGGCTCCCCACGGAGTAACTCTTTCCAGTCACTTCCTTTCCTCAAAGCAGCCCCATGGGCAGCAAAGTCCTAGTCCCCTGCCCCTGGGCCACCCCCCTTGTTCCCTTACACTGCTAAGATGCCCCCTCCGGGAAAGAGCTGGCCTGGCAGCTCCCCCTTCCTTGACCCCTCCAGGAGGCCAAGGGAAGGACACCTTTACACTCAGTGGGGTGCCGGGTGGGAGCTGCAGGCCGACACCCTACTTCGGGAAGAGCCTGGAGAGTTCAGAGCCTGGCTCCTGTCCCCCAAACCCCCGGCCCTGCTGGAGGAAGCAAGTTTCTTTGCTAAAAGTTAAACATCCTCTTCGTAAGCGCAAGAAAACAGGACGTGGGAAGCGTCCCACAGGGTGAACATGGGCCCCCAATGCCTGGCACCCCCTCCTCTCTTGTGGAGCGGAGGCCTGGTGGCTCGAACCCTTCCTTTCTCACACTCGCTCACCTCTGCAGGGGAGTCATGTTCCCACAGTCTCACAATGCCCTTGAGTTCTGCTGACAAAGCTCTGGCTTCTTCCCTGGTTGTCAGAGTCTCTATGCCTCCATCCAGGGTTCCACAGAAATGCAGGACACACCACTGGGGAAAAAATGAAGGAATGAAGCAACAAAAGGATGAATTCAAACAACATTTATTGAACATCAACTGTGCGCCACCCGGTTCCAGGCACTGGGAGGCAGCAGTGAACATGACAGAACAGGAATCCCTGCCTGGTGAAGTTCGTGTGCTAAGGAATCAATCATTCCGTTCTTTTTTTTTTTTTTTTTTTTCTTGAGACAGGGTCTCTCACTCTGTTGCCCAGGCTGGAGTGCAGTGGCACAATCAGCTCACTGTAACCTCAAATTCCTGTGCTCAAGCGATCCTCCTGCCTCAGCCTCTCGAGTAACTGGGACTATGGATGAACACCACCATGCCCAGCTAATTTTTAAATTATTTCTTGTAGAGATGAGGTCTCACTATGTTGCCCAGGCTGGTCATGAACGCCTGGCCTCAAGCAATCCTCCCACCTTGGCCTCCTAAAGTGCTAGGAGTACAGGCGTGAGTCACAGCATCCAGCCTTTTTTTTTTTTTTTTTTTTTTTTTTTGAGACAGGGTCTTACTCTGTCGCCCAAGCTGGAGTGGGGTTCAAGCGATCCTCCCACCTTGGCCTCCTGTGTAGCTGGGACTAGAGGTACACGTCACCACGCCCAGCTAATTTTTGTATTTTTAGTAGCATGGTTGCACTATGTTGGCCAGGCTGGTCTCCAACTCCTGACCTCAAGTGATCCACCCGCCTCGCCCTCCCAAAGTTCTGGGATTACAGGCATGAGCCACTGCGTCCAGCCCTTTTATTTTTTAAAGAGACATGGGTTCTTGCTATGTTGCCCAGACTAGATTCAAACCCCCGGGGCTCCAGGGATCCTCCCACCTCAGCCTCTGGAGTAGCTGGGACTAAAGGCGCATGCTGCTGCCCCTGGCTAATACTCATATGCATGTTGTCAGGATTAAAATGAATGAACAAAGGGAAGGACATGTTGGAGCCAACTTGTACAGGTTGGGAGGGACTGTTCAATTTTCAAGAATTTTGCAAACTGGTTGTTAAACAGCTGGTTTAGCCGGGCACAGTGGCTCACGCCTGTAATCCCAGCACTTTGGGAGGCCGAGGCAGGTGGATCACCTGAGGTCGGGAGTTCAAGACCAGCCTGACCAACATGGAGAAACCCCATCTCTACTAAAAATGCAAAATTAGCCGGGGTGGTGGCACATGTCTGTAATCCCAGCTACTAGGGAGGCTGAGGCAGGAGAATCGCTTGAACCCGGGAGGCGGAGGTTGCGGTGAGCCAAGATTGCGCCATTGCACTCCAGCCTGGGCAAAAAGAGCGAAACTCTGTCTCAAAATAAAATAAAATAATAAACAGCTGGTTTAGCAACTGGTTTTGTTTGTTTGTTGAGACAGGGTCTCACTCTGTCACCCACACTGGAGTGCAGTGGCACAATCAAGGCTCACTGCAGCCTTGACCTCCCAGGCCCATGCAATCCTCCCACCTCAGCCTCCCGAGTAACTGGAACTACTCGCGTGCACCACCACCCCTGGCTATTTTTATTTTTTGTAGAGACGAGGATGTCATCATATTGCCCAGGCTGGTCTTGAACTCCTGGACTCGAGCGACCTTTCCACCTCAGCCTCCTAAAGCTAAACAGCTATGGTTAAAAATGAAATTATATAAACGTACTCAAAACTGCTAACTTCCTAATTTTACCACATTCCACTATTCTATATGCTCTTGAGGTCATTTACCCCCATTTTATCTGTATGGTAAAAATAATACATGATAGTGCGCTACTGCACCTCTTTTGAACTCCCTGTTCAGTGACCACAGGTCGGTACCTTGAAATCTAACAAGAAGATTGTACCTAAGCCATGGAAATTGGCAAATGCTAGCAACCAGCCTCCCTTCCCCCCGCCCCTCCCGCCACCACCCCCGCCCCAGCCAGTGGTTAACCATTTACCAGCACACCACTGAGGGCATTTAGAACCTAGCACATGGTAAACACTATGATAAACGTTCTCATTATTTTCCCGTTTGTCCACTGGGTCAGGATGTATAGTCTTTTTTTGTGTCTGGGTTGGAATTTAAAATGTTTGAAGATCACAGAATTACAAAAGGCCAGAGAGTGGCTAAGCTACACCTATTTAACTCTCCCAATAATGCTGTTAAGTCTGTACTATTGATTATCCCCACTTTCCAGACAGGGAAACTGAAGTTCTGAGGCGGTAAAACTCAGGCAGCGCCGCCATTATCTGTAGTGCGATCTGAAATTGCAGCCGAGCAGCCTCCGCGCGCTCGCTCACTTCAAGAACGCATTTCTCCTATCACGTTTATGTCCCCAGCGGTAATTTCGCTGCCCTGCACGCGAAAAATGAATGGGTGGCATCGTGCGCGTGGCATCTTGGGAAATGTAGTTTACAGGCTCAATGACAAGCATGGTCCAAGAAGGGAGGGGCGGGGGAGCAATTCGATCTTGGCCTCGGAATAAAAAGAACAAAGAATCGCCGGCAGTTTGCGCGTCGCGACGCTTCAGCCACGCAGTGCGTGGATTCAGCCACTTTGGCCGTGCCGCTTGCATGCCGGGAAACGCAGTTCGCGAGCCCCGGTTACGTCGACAATAGATGACGGGACTCACGTTGTACGTTCACATCAGGTCCCGGCACGCCGGAGCCTGGGCGGTCCACGATGGTGAGTTTGCCACGCTGCGACAGCTCATAGGCTTGTCCCCCGGGCATTCTGGTGAACTACGAACGCAAACTGAAGCTCTACGACTTGTCGCCCGTTTGCGCTCTCGCCGAGGCACAGGCTGCTCGCGGACCACCCTGCTCCGAAAACTAAGGTGGGCCCTGGAGCGCGGAGGACAGGGATGCGGGCGGAGGCTGTTGAGGAACTGTCCTGACTGCGGGGAAAGGAGGAGGTTCGCCCTGGGCGCCGCAGCTGTGTATGGTTCGGGCGGCTGGCACCGGGTGGGTTCTAGACCCAAGGTTTGTCTGCAGAAGGGGACCCGTAGACGGGGTGGGTTCGAGGTGGGGACATGGGACGCAGCGGTTGGAGCCACCTGGGACCCGGTGGCCCCGATGGAGCTATGATCTTTGAGGTATTGATGAGGAGGGACAGGGAGTGTGGTCAGAAGGCTGTTTAATGGGAGGTTGGTTGGAGCGCGAGGGTGGGGTGTTACTGGGGAATCAATGGGGGCTAATAAGAATATTTTAGTCTAAGTGTTGTTCATTGATTGATTAATGAGGGGATGGCAGAGTAAGCAACTATAATATAAGGAGTGGTGGATAGGAACGTGATCCCCCAGGGATTGATGGAGGTATGATATTCAACGGGTTAATGGAAAGTGATGGGACATAGTAATGGCAAGGATGATGGTGAGGCTGTGGGGGGAATAATAGATGAATGGGGGTCATGATCAAGGGGCTGTGGTGAAAGAAGAGATAATGAGAGGCTGATGGTGTTGTAGTCAGAGTCAATAGTTGGGCTGTGGTGGCATGACCATCGAGGAATTAGGGGACAGAGTGAGCAAAGAGAGGGTATAGTAAACTAGGGTTGGAGGGTTAACTTTTGTTGATACATAGTAGGTGAATAGTAAACTGTTAGAGTGTGATCATCCAGTGATGGATCCATGGAGAGCGGGGTGGACAGTGAGGGGAGAATGGGGAACTGATGTGTGAACATCAGGGAGTAACGTGTTTGTTAATGAAAGGGTTACAGGGCAGGGGCCTAGTGCTGTGATCTATGAAGGGTCTATTGGAGAAAACTGAGTTAATGGGGGCTGATAAATCAGTAATTGAATGCTCAATGGGGAGCTAATAGACCATGATTCTCCAGGCATTATTAGAGGTTCATAAGGATGTAGTAATAAAGTGGGCCTAATCGTCTAAGGGATTAATGGGGAATGGGGTGAAATGAGAGAGATATAGGGAGTGGGAGGTACAATGAAGTAGTATTAGGATAAAGGTGGAAAGCAAGGGATTAATGGGGGCTGATAGGACTATATGAATCTAGGGGCAATGGGGACAACTGGGGATATAGTCAGTGAGATTTTAATGGGCATCACGTGGGCAGAGAAGGGTTGATAGTGACAGTTACAGGGTTTAATGTGTGGAGTGTGGGTGACAGTGATGGGAGGTGGACAGGCTCACAAGTTGGCCATCTATGGGATTAATGTTGGGTTTATGGGGTCTTTTGTAAGAACTGGGGGGTAAGTGATGGGGACGAGGAGGGTCTGTGTGATAAGCAATGGAGCCTGAGAGTTCAGTGATAGGGTCCTTTGGACCCTATAAGGTCAGTGGGGTCAGTTCCAGGGCTTCAGTCAGCCCATCTTCTGTGTGAGCTATCATGTGAGTCAGATGAGCCCAGTTTAGTTTGTGTGGTTCTCTCCGCCCTACAGAGGTAGGTGGTAGCCCACTCATCTGGTTACTGATACTGGCCAGCATCAGCTGACTGTCGGCAGGTCCTTGGGCAACTGGTGTGTGAAATGGGACGGACGTCGAAGGACAAGCGGGATGTCTACTACCGCCTGGCTAAGGAGAATGGCTGGCGTGCTCGCAGCGCCTTCAAACTGCTACAGCTGGATAAGGAATTCCAACTCTTCCAAGGTCCCTGACTGGTGGGCAGGTCACTGGGCGGTGAGGTGGGCACAGGAGGTAGACAAGTAGGCTTGGTCTGCAGAGCTCCCTATGGTAGGTGGGCTGACTCAGAGGGTCTCTGGGACAGGGAGACAGGCAGGAAGATAGGCAGAATACTGGAGAGGAGTTGGGCACCTGGGCAGTGGAGATATGTGGGTGCTCCCCAGGGGAGAGGGGTGAACTTTGCAAGGGTCTCCAGGTTGGAGAAGTGGGTGCAGCTGACCAGGATGCTTTCACTGTGTATGCCCAGGCGTGACACGGGCAGTTGACCTGTGTGCAGCCCCGGGCAGCTGGAGCCAGGTGCTGAGCCAGAAGATTGGGTAAGTGTGGGGGTCCCAGATGGGAGACCCAGGAGGGCCGGCTGGGTGGGAGGGGCCCAGGAGTGAAACTAGGCTGATGTGGGCCATGTTGTCCACAGGGGCCAAGGGTCCGGCCACGTGGTGGCTGTGGACCTGCAGGCTATGGCTCCACTACCAGGTGTGGTACAGATCCAGGGGGACATCACCCAGGTAAGAGCATGGCTGAGGGTATTGGGGTACATCCTGGGTGAAGGCCCTTACCTGGGGTCTATGCAGAATGGAAGAGCAACAGAGAGGTGATGGAAACAGAGAGAGAGAAAGAGAATGAGAGAGTAACCATGGAGAAACAGCCAACGGGTCATCATTGCAGACACAGCAGAAAATGATGATGCTGAGTCCCCAGAGATGGAGTCCAGTATTAGAGAGGCAAAGCCTGGGAATTTGGCTGACCCAGGGTCTGTGGGCCAGGACCATGGGCAGGCGGAATCTGAGGGCAGCAGTGGAGGGCCGTGGGGCCACTCATCCTCCCTCTCTCCATAGCTGTCCACTGCCAAGGAGATCATCCAGCACTTTAAGGGCTGCCCTGCGGACCTAGTGGTGTGTGACGGGGCTCCTGATGGTAAATAGCAACAGAAAGTGGGAGGCCAGGCGGAGGCCCCTGTGCGTGTCCTTCTCTGTATCTCCCACCTTGGTTGACTTACTCACCTCTTCAGTTACTCCTTGCCTCTCCCTTCTGTTCTCAGCTTTCTCCCACATCTGGCAACTTTTCCCTACCTCTGCTGCCTGCTCTCTCTCTGCCTCTCTGTTCCTCCCACTTGCACCCCACCCTTTGAATTTCATGTCTGTTGTCTACCTTTCCCTGCTCTCATCTCTCTGCAATTGTCCAATTCCGTTGCACTGTTCATTCGTTTTCAGCCAGTCAGCCATTCAACACACATTTACTGAGCACCTATTGTGTTGAGAAAACATTCATGAATAAAATTCCATTAATCTTTAACCTCATGGAGCTGATGTTCTAGTGGGAGCAAATGGGAAAGAAAATAAATGATTGAGCTTTGTATCGTTAAAAGGGGATGCAGCCAGGCATGGTGGCTTCTACCCGTAATCCCAGTGCTTTAGGAGGATGAGGTGAGAGGAACACTTGAGGCAGGAGTTTGAGACCAGCCTTGCAACATAGCAAGACCCTGTCTAAAAAATTAGCTGGGCTTGGTGGTGCATATGCCCGTAGTCCCAGTTACTCAGGAGGCTGAGGTGGGAGGATCACTTGAGCCCAAGAGGTCGAGGTTACAGTACACTTTGATTGCACCACTGCACTCCAGCCTGGGCAACAGAGTGAGACCTTGTCTCTAAAAAAACGGGGTGGGGAGGCCAGGCATAGTGGCTCACGCCTGTAATCCCAGCACTTTTGGAGGCCGAGGCGGGCAGATCACCTGAGGTCAGGAGTTCGAGACCAGCCTGACCAATATGATGAAACCCCGTCTCTACTAAAAATACAAAAATTAGCCAGGTGTGGTGGCATGTGCCTGTAATCCCAGCTACTTGGAAGACTAAGACAGGAGAATCGCTTGAACCCAGGAGGCAGAGGTTGCAGTGAGCCGAGATCGCGTCATTGCACTCCAGCCTGGGCAACAAGAGCAAAACTCTGTCTCAAAAAAAAAAAAAAAAGGGGGGGGGGGGGATAGGTACCATAGGGAAATCATTGAGCAGGAGGAAAGCAGGAGTACCTGTTGGAATTTTAAATGAAGTGGATGGGGAAGGCCTCACTGACTTAACAGTAGAGACTAAAGGAGGTGGGGGAGTAAGCTATGGATATGTCTGAAGGAAGAGCAATCCAGGAAAAATTCCAGCCTATGCAAAGTTCCTGAGGCAGGAGGGTACTTGCTATGTATGAGTGATGACAAGGAGATCACTGTGGTTGGAACAGAGTGAGGGGGAGAGTGGTAAAAGGTAACATCAGAGAGGTGACAGGGGACAGGTCCTATAGGGCCTCGTGGGCCATGGTGAGGATGTTGGCATTTTCACCGAGATGAGAGCTTGAAGAAAACCATGAGAGGGTTTTGAGGAGAAGAGGACTGTTCTGGGCTTGGGCTGCTATGAGCTGTGTGAGGCCCAAGGGCAGAAGCAGGGGCTCCAGGGTAGAGTAGTCCAGGCAAGTGATAACGGGTGGGGGCAGTGGTGGAGAGAAGAAGATCAAGTCAGATCTTTTGAAAGTAGATATGTTAATGACTTCAATGTGGGTGTGAGGAGAGGATGCAGGGGGAGCATCAGAGGTGACTAAGGTTTTGGAGCTGAGCAACTAGAAAGCTCAGATGAGATGGTGGGGATGGTGGGAGGAGCAGGTTTGGGAGGTAGGTCAGGAGTTTGGAGGTCAGGAGTATTGGAGATGTGGAATCTGATTTGTGAATCTGGAGTTCAGAGGAGCAGTCTGGGCTGGAGGTGGAAATGATAATAATGCTTGTACATGAGGTCATTTTAGAATTGAAATGAGTTCCTAAGGGTTAGGAGCTCAGAATATGCATCTAGTTAGTTGGCAGATAGTAATTAGCATCCAGAACCTTAGCAGTAAGAGAGCCTGGAAAATGTTTTTAGTGTCTGATCTGTGTGGTACAAGAAGATGCACAGAGCAGGATAGGCCCCCCTAACGCTGTTCCTCTTGCCACAGTAACCGGCCTCCATGATGTTGATGAGTATATGCAGGCCCAGCTTCTCCTAGCTGTGAGTAACTCTGGCCACCCCTGACCCACTTTGGCCCCCTCCTGGCTGTCTCCACCTCAGCCTCAGCCGTCTGTCCTGCCCACAGGCTCTGAACATTGCTACACATGTCCTGAAGCCAGGGGGCTGCTTTGTGGCCAAGGTAAGTCTCAAGGAACCTGGTGGAGTAGAGAGAGATCGCTGAGGGCCAACCTCACCCGCTGTCTTTGCCTTCCCACCCTGCAGATATTCCGAGGCCGGGATGTGACGCTCCTCTACAGCCAGCTGCGAGTCTTCTTCTCCAGCGTGCTGTGTGCCAAGCCCAGGAGCAGCCGGAACTCCAGCATCGGTCAGTGGGGTGGAGGGGCCAGGCAGGCAGACCGGGATTTCTGGGACGCCGCCTGCACAAGGAGGAAGCGGCAGTCACACCTCATTCCACCTTCCCCCAACAGAGGCCTTCGCTGTCTGTCAAGGCTATGACCCTCCCGAGGGCTTCATCCCGGACCTGAGCAAACCCCTGCTGGACCATTCTTACGGTGAGAGCTGGAGCGTGGGTCACCCTGGGGGACTCTGCCACACCTTATGCAATCTAGGTCCCATGAGGGCCCACAGCCTCACCCCCTGGTGGAGGCTCTGTCCCCTCATGGGAATTTTTTTCCCAAGGGGATCCTCAGCCCCATTTTCTGGTGGAAATCCCATCCCTTTATGGGTATTTTGTCCCAGGAGGAGCTTCAGCCCAGGCAGTCCTCTAGTGGTAACTCTTGGGCCTGGTGAAAATTCCATCCCAGGAGGATCCTGAGCCCTGCCCCAGTGGAGGCTCCACCTGCCTAAGGACATTCTCTCCTAGGAAGATCTCAGTCACGCCCCCAGGTGGAAGCCTCCTTGGTGTGAAACTTTTGCCCCTTAAGCCTCTAGCAGGAAGAGACAGAGCCTGCCCCTGGGATGACATTTGAGTGAGGGAGACGTCATCCAGGCAGCATATAATCCAATGTCAGGTGGATATATATGCAGGAAAAAGAGCAGGGCACCAAAGTTTTAGAAGGCGTGATTATGGAGGGCCTCCCCAAGGAGGTGATCTGAACCAAATGAAGGATTTCTGGTGGGGTGGGAAGAGAGTAGCTGGTGGATCTGAGGGGAGGGCTTGGCAACCATACTGCTGCCTGTGTCATGACTGGCCCCAGGCATCCAGACCTTGTCCTCAGTTATCTCCCCCTGTTCCTAAGACCCAGATTTCAACCAGCTGGATGGTCCCACCCGCATCATTGTACCTTTTGTGACTTGTGGGGACCTGAGCTCCTATGATTCGGACCGCAGTTACCCACTGGACGTGAGTGCCCAACCAACACTAGGTGGGTGGGAGCAAGGCTGTCCTAGATTCCCAGGTCCTCACCATCTCCCTACCCCTCTGTCTCTGCAGCTAGAGGACGGCTCAAAGTACAAGTACACTCCACCCACACAGCCCCCCATCTCGCCACCATACCAGGAGGCCTGCACGTTGAAGAAGAAGGGGCAGCTGGCCAAGGAGATCCGCCCCCAGGACTGCCCCATCAGCAGAGTAGACACGCTTCCCCAGCCCCTGGTCGCCCCTCAGCGCCACAGCCTGCTGGCCCCTGAGGTCTGGAAATGTGACTCTCAACCCGCATTGACCCCTTCCCAGTGTGCCTCTTTCTGACCCAAATCTCATGGTTTCTGGGGCCAAAATTCCCTTTCCTGCCTCCTAATAGCTATAAAAAAATTGGTGAAACCAAGCATAATGAATGGAAAAATTTCACCAAATATGTGAGTCACTTTTCTTTTTCTTGAGTAGATGGAAGACAATGAAATGAGTTGTTCACCTTAACCCATTACGGTAAGTTTGCCTTGTTATCTAAAGGTTTGAGTAAGGGCAACCTTTATGAAAAACCTCAGTAAAATTTCACCTTTGAAATTTTTATGTCAACTGATAAGATTTTAATCAACAAACCCTTTTCTAAACATCTATTGTTGTATGACAGGAACTGCTTTAAGCATTTTACATTTGAAGCATTCAGTAAACATTTATTGAGCACATACTGTGTGCCAGGCATTGTTCTAGGTTTGGAGATAGAGCAGGGAGCAAAACAGAAATATCTTGGCTCTCACAGTACTTCCAGTTTGGAAAAGAGGCAACAATCAATAAAACAGTCTATAAGTTCTAGAGTTTACATACACACATATACTATATAGCTTGCATTTTTCAATTTACATATCTTGCAATATATATAATAAGAGTAATATGGGATATGAAAAATAGAAAAAAGTAAAGCAGGGTGAAGAGAATCAGGAATTCTAGGCATGGCAGTTTTCATCTTTTGGTGTTTTTGTTTTGAGACAAGGTCTCACTCTGTTGCCCAGGCTGGAGTTCAGTGGTACAATCTCCCGGGCTCAAAAAATCCTCCCACCTCAGCCTCCTGAGTAGCTGGGACTACAGGTGTGCACCACCATGCCCGGCAAATTTTTGTATTTTTAGGGGAGATGGAGTTTCGCCATGTTGCCCAGACTGGTCTCGATCTACTGGGCTCAAGCGATCTGCCATTCTCGGCCTCCCAAAGTACCAGGATTATAGGCATGAGCCACTGTGCCCAGCCAGTTTGCACTTTTTAAAAGGGTTGTCATAGAAGGCCTCAGATATTCCTCAGAGGTAATATCTGAGCAAAGACCTAAAGGCATTGCTGGAGGGAAGCTGTGTGTTTATCTGAGGGAAGAGCATTCCGGGTAAAGGAAATAGCCAAGTCCCAAGGTGGAACTGCGCGTGGTATGGGAGGAAAGTTTATCCATAGCCAAATGTGCTAAAACCACAATGTTAGAGGATGGCCCTTTCTGACAATGGCATAGCAGGTTATTCAGACTAAGTCAGCCATCACAAAAAGTCACCGTTTTTTTTTTTAAGCGGAGCCTTGCTCTGTTACCCAGGCTGGAGTGCGGTGGTGTAATCTCAGCTCACTGCAACCTCCATCTACCGGGTTCAAGTGATTCTCCTGCCTCAGCCTCCTGAGTAGCTGGGATTACAGGTGCCCGCCACCATGCATGGCTAATTTTTGTATTTTTAGTAGAGACGGGGTTTCGCCATGTTGGCCAGACTGGTCTCAAACTCCTGACCTCGGGTGATCCACCCGCCTTGGCCTCCCAAAGTGCTGGGATTAGAGGCATGAGCCACCGCACCCTGCCTTTTTTGTTTTGTTTTGAGATGGAGTCTCGCTCTGTCGCCCAGGCTAGATGGAGTACAGTGGCCCTATCTCAGCTCACTCCAACCTCCGCCTCCCGGGTTCAAGAGATTCTCCTGCCTCAGCCTCCTGCATAGCTGGGATTACAGACGCATGCTGCCCCCTCACCCAGCTAATTTTTGTATTTTTAGTAGAGACAGGGTTTCGCCATGTTGGCCATACTGGTCTCGAACTCCTGACCTCACAAAATCTGCCTGCCTCAGGCCTCCCAAAGTGCTAGGATTACAGGCGTGAGCCACCACACCCGGCCACAAGAAGCCACCTTAGGGGAAACTGAAACAGCAAATCATTGTGTGAAAGAGATTTACAATTTCTAATATTTAAAGGATCCTGTAAATCAATAAGGAAAAAAAATGAGAGTGACCAGTAAGCACATGAAAAGCTGCTCATCAGGAAAATGCAAATGAAAACTCAAAATATCAACAACACTAAGTATTTGGAAGGATATGCAGCAACTGAAAGTCTCATACACGCTACTGGGAAGGTAAAATGGTGCAGCCACCGTGGAAAACTTAGGCATTACCTACTAAAGCTGCATGTGTGCCAGTTCCACTCCTAAAAAGTGAGTCCTAGAGGCCGGGCGTGATGGCTCAACACCTGTAATCCCAGCACTTTGGGAGGCCGAGGTGGGTGGATCGCCTGAGGTCAGGAGTTCAAGACCAGCCTGACCAACATGGCAAAACCGCATCTCTACTAAAAATACAAAAATTAGCCAGGCCTGGTGGCGGGCGCCTGTAATCTCAGCTACTCAGGAGGCTGAGGCAGGAATCACTTGAACCTGGGAGGTGGAGGTTGCAGTGAGCTGAGAACGTGCTACTGCACTCCAGCCTGGGCGACAGAGTGAGACTCCGTCTGAATAAAAAAAAAAGGAAATGAGTCCTAGAGTGTTGTTAGCAGCACTATCTGTAGTATGCCCATTAAATCGTGGTACATTCACTATAGAGAACTGTACAGCAATGACAGTGAACATCCTGCAATTACACCAAATAGCACCTTGTAGTTATTCATTAAACTGAATATATATGCATTTTCTGTATGTCATGGTTCACCATAAAAGTAGGAGGAAATGTCACAAAAATGTTAGCAGCAGAGTTAGCTGGGTGTGGTAGCACATGCCCCGTCTGTAATCCCAGCTACTTGGGAGGCTGAGACGGGAGGATTACTTGAGCTTGGGAGGTTAAGGTTGTTGTAAGCTATGATGGAGCTCCACTGCACTCCAGCCTGGGTGACAGAGCAAGACCCTGTCTCTAAAAAAACAAAACAAACAAAAAACTTTCTTTGACTTTTGGTTAGCTGGCAAGCTGATACAACTCAGAAACTGCTCAGTGTCAGGAAAACCAGAACTTGTTGATGAACTTGTTTTCAAAATATCATCTCATCAACGAGGCCTGGACAAACAAGCCCTGAGGAGGGATCTGCAACAACCCTGAAGACAACAAGGAAAGAAAGCATAGACGTCTCTCCGCACTGCAGTGGGAATTCTTGAGGGAGGTCTTACCTCTTCTTTAAACCTCTTCAGGAGTGTCCTGATTATATCCAGAAATTTCCCTAAAGGCAGGGATTCTTAACCTGGATAGAAGCCAGGGGTAACCATAAACTTGATGGAAGAAAATGTTACATCTTTATTTTCAGCAATAAAACAACGTTAGCCTTACTCCCAAGTTATAAATGCTGGCAACAAATCACAATAGTAAAAGCAGTACCTGGGATTTTCCCACCAATACAAACCAGTTACAACAACTGTAATGTAGCATAAAAAGGGTATCTTGAAGTATTGTTCATATTTGTCACCTCTTGGAATGATAGCAGATCCTATAAGTTGATGTATTAATTAAAAAGCCCATATATGACTGCAGCTCAATTTTGTTTCAATTTAATATATAGTAATAATTGTAATTCAATGTAATTGGCTTCCATTGTCATTTGTGTGTGTGTGTATGTGTGTGTATATACTTTTAAAAATATTCTGCGAAGGGGTTCACAGATTTAACCAGATGCCAAAGGGTTCCGCAGAACAAATTTATTTATTTATTTTGAGACAGAATTTTGCTCTGTCGCCCAGGCTGGAGTGCAATGGCGTGATCTTGGCTCACTGCAACCTCCACCTCCTGGGTTCAAGCGATTCTCCTGCTTCAGCCTCCTGAGTAGCTGGGATTACAGGCATGCACCACCACACCCAGCTAATTTTTTTATATTTTTAGTAGAGATGGGGTTTTGCCATGTTGGCCAGGCTGGTCTTGAACTCCTTGCCTCAAGTGATCCGCCCACCTCGGCCTGTTTTTTTTTTTTTGAGACGGAGTCTTGCTCTTGTCGCCAAGGCTGGAGTGCAGTGGTGCGACCTCGGCTCACTGCAACCTCTGCCTCCCAGGTTCAAGCGATTCTCCTGCCTCAGCCTCCCAAGTAACTGGGATTACAGGCGCCCACCACCATGCCCAGATAATTTTTGTATTTTTAGTAGAGACGGGGTTTCACCATGTTATCCAGGCTGGTCTTGAACTCCTGACCTCAGGTGATCCGCCCGCCTCGGCCTCCCAAAGTGCTGGGATTACATGGGTGAACCACTGCGCCTGGCCTCCAGAACAAATTTTTTAGGTTAAGAACCTGTCTTAAAGAAACATCAGGGCCAGGCACGGTGGCTCATGCCTGTAATCCCAGCACTTTGGGAGGCTGAGGCGGGTAGATCACTTGAGGTCAGGAGTTCGAGACCAGTCTGGCCAACATAGTGAAACCCCGTCTCTACCAAAAATACAAAAATCAGCTGGGTGTAGTGGTGCATGCCTGTAATCCCAGCTACTCGGGAGACTGAGGCAGGAGAATCACCTAAACCCAGGAAATGAAGGTTACAGTGAGCCAAGGTCGTGCCACTGCACTCCAGCCTGGACAACAGAGTGAGATTCTGTCTCAAAAAAAAAAGCAACGTCAGAAAGTCTACCTGGACTGCAGTCCTCAATTTCTATAACTTAATGAACAGGAGCTGACAGAAACTCCCCAACTAGACAAACAGAACTGTTTTCTACAGCTTAATCCTGTGTCCTTAGAAACTCACGTACTCTGTGATCCAAGGACTATCCACGCCGCGGTCCAGTGACCTCAGGAGTATCCACATACCAGTCTGCGACCCCAGCTGTTTCCACACCTGACTGTGACTCACCCCAGTTACTGTGTGTGACCCCAGGAGTATACACACTCAAGTCTGGGACAAACATTGTCCAATCTGCAGTCAGAAATGGTGTTTAAACTCTGGAGCGTGTGTTCATAGGCATGCCTACACTCTAGTCTCTGACCACGAGAATAACCACACCCCAGTCTGTGTGACTTCAGGAATGTCCAGACCCCAGTTTGTGTCAGTCTAGGAATATCCACACCATGGTGACTTAACCCAGGAGTCTTCTCACCAAAGTCAGTGTGACCACAGGAATGTCCACACCCCAATCTATGAATATGCACGGCCCAACAATGTATGGCAGAAGTGTCCACACAAAAGGCCATGTGACCACAGATGTAGCCATACCCATTACAGTGCAAATTCAGGAGCGTTCACACGAGAGCCTGTGAGACCTCAGGAGTGTCCTCACGCCAGGTTCTGTGAGTCCAGCAGTGGCAATGGCTTGGAGTTTCCATAGCCATCTTAGTGGCGCCATAAATGTGTACCTCAAACTGTGACCGCAGAGGAGGCCGTACTCTAGTCTGGGTGACCTTGTGGGTGTCCACAGCTCAGTCTATGGTGCTTTGGGAGTGGTTTTGCCCCAGTCCAGCCACCTCAGGAGTATCCCCACCCAAGTTTTTATGACACAAGTAATGTCCAGTTCCCAGCATATGTGACCCTGGTGTTGTCCAAACCCCATAGTCTCTGGCTATTAGTGTGTCTATACTCATCTTGACGGCCTCAGGCAGGTGCACTCCCCCATCTGTATGACCAAAAGACTATCGACTCTCCTGTCATTGTGACCACGGAAGTGTAAAATTCCAGTGCCAGTGACTACTGGTGGGTCCACATTGCAGTCTGGGTGACCCAGGGGAGGGCACAGTCCTGTCTGTGTGACCATAGGAGTCTTCACACCCCAGTATCTGTGACCACACAGGAGTCAATTTCCCAGTCAGTGTGACCAGAGGGATGTTCACACCAAATTGTGTGACCACAGGAGTATCCACACTTATCTGCACGTCCTGAGAGGTGTCTGTACTCCAGTGGGTGTGACACCAACAGTGTCCACAACACAGTCTGTGTGACTCCAGGAATGTCCCTCCCCTCAGTCAGTGTGAGTCTAGAAGGATCTACACCAAGTCTTGGGGGCCCAGGAGTGTTCATTCCCCAATCTTTATGACTCGGGGCATTCACCACCCCCCCCATCACACAGATGAAGCATATCCACAGCTAGGTCTGTGTGACCCCAGCAGAGTCTGCTTCACAAGTCGTGTAACCACAGGAGTGTCCCCAGCCAAGCCTATGGGAATCCAGGAGTGTCCACATCACAGTCACTTGATCACAGTGGTGCCGACTTCCCAGTTTATGTATCCTCAGTCATGTCCTTGTTCCAGACTGTGTGACCCCAGTGTCCACACCCCAAACTCGGTGATCCAAGAGGTTACCCTAACTCCAGTCTGCGTGACTCCAGTGTTGCCCACACACCAATCTGTGTGACCCTAAGAGAACACATCCCAGTCTGTGATGCTTCAGGAGTGGCCACACCCTACTCTCTGTGACCCCAGGAGTGGCTACACCACAATCAGCATGACCCCAGGATTTCTTACTCCAAAATCTAGTAACATCATGAGTGTCTACACCCTCACCTCTGTGATTCCAAGAGGATCCACACCCCAGGCTGTGTGACCTTGGGAAGGTCCCTATAGCAGTCAGTGTAAACCCAGGAGTGTGTTCCTCCCCGTCAGTGTGAGCCAGGAGGGCGTATCTAGAGGAAGAGTGAACCAGGGAAAGGCAAAGGGCTGGGTGTGGTAGCTCACACCTGTAATCCCAACACTTTGGGAGGCCAAGGTGGGCAGATCACCTGAGGTCAGGAGTTTGAGACCAGCCTGGGCAACATGGTGAAACCCCATCTCTACTAAAAATACAAAAATTAGCTGGGCATGGTGGCACATACCTGTAATCCCAGCTACTTGGGAGGCTGAGGCAGGTGAATCACTTGAACCTGGGAGTTGGGGGTTGCAGCGAGCTGAGATTGTGCCACTGCACTCCAGCCTGGATGATAGGCCAAGACTCTGTCTAAAAAAAAGAAAGAAAGGCAAAGGCCCTAAGGCAATGGCCCTGATGTGCCTGGCACATTTAAGGAACAGGCCAGCGGGGCAGGAGCAGAGTGAGCAAGGAGCCAGTGGCGGGCGGTGAGGTCAAGGGGGACCCGGAGGGCCTTGTGGGTCACGGAGACGACTTTGGCTTTTTCTCTGAGAGAGATGAGAGCCACGGCAGGGCTCTGAGCAGAGGAGGGCCCTGGGCTGACTCGGGTTGCAACAGGATCCCTCTGGCTGCTGTGGTGTTGGCTACTCAACTGTTATTGTTTGTCAAAAGTCAGAGAACACCTGTAATCCCAGCACTTTGGGAGGCCGAGACGGGCGGATCACGAGGTCAGGAGATCGAGACCATCCTGGCTAACACCGTGAAACCCCGTCTCTACTAAAAAATACAAAAAACTAGCCGGGCGAGGTGGCGGCGCCTGTAGTCCCAGCTACTCGGGAGGCTGAGGCAGGAGAATGGCGGGAACCCGGGAGGCGGAGCTTGCAGTGAGCTGAGAGACAGAGCGAGACTCCATCAAAAAAAAAAAAAAAAAAAAAAAAAAGTCAGAGAACTGTATGCCAAAAGGGTGAACTTTATTGTATGTAAATTATAACTCTTTAAATTTAAGTTACAACTTTTGGAAAATGTGCAGTACTGGTCAGGCATGGTGGCTCATGCCTGTAATCCCAGCACTTTGGGAGGCTGAGGTGGGAGAATAGTTTTAGCCTGGGAGGTTGAGGCAGCAGTGAGCTGAGATCATGCCGCTGCACTCCCGCCTGGACAACAGAGCAAGACCCTGTCGCAAAGAAAAAACAAAAAACAAAACAAAACAAATAAAACGTGCAGTACTTTGCAAGCAATAAAGATTTCTATTTCTGCAAGAGAGTCTGTGCTCATGCCTGTCCTTACTCCTCTCCTTTCTGCACAGACGCATCTCAGGAATGCACCTGAGGAAAAGGCGGTACCGGGGCCTCCCTCAACTGCTCAAGGTAGCGCTCCCTTTGTTGTCTGCTGTGAACTGAATTGTGAATTCAGCAAATTCCTTTGTTGAAGCTTTAATCCCCAATGTGACTGTATTTGGAGATGAGGGTAATTAAGGTTAAATGAGGCCATAAGGGCAGGGTCCTAATCTGATAGAACTGGTGTCCTCATTAGAGAGGGAAGAGATGCCAAAGCTCCCTCCCTCTCTCCCTGTGGGCACGCAGAGGAAAAGCCACGTGAGGACAGAGAAAGAAGGTGGCTGCCTACAAGCTAGAAAGAGAAGCCTCACCAGAAACCAACCCTACCAGCACCTCGATCTTGAACTTCCAGCCTCCAAAACTGTGAGAAAATAAACGTCTGTGGTTTAAGCCACTCGGTCTGAGGTATTTTGTTAAGGCAGTCCAAGCAGCTAATTGCCTCTCAGCTTCAAGGCTGATCTCAGGAGACTCATGTTGGCCAGGTGTGAGGGGAGCCAGTGCTCAAGTGAAGGAAAATTCAGTACATCCTCCTTGTCTAGCTGAAGGGGGCTCTGGGGCAGCAGGAGGGGCCCAGGGCAAGCCTGGGATGAAATCCGTGGCACTCCTACAGGTTCTGGGGGTGGTGTCCATGGAATATCCTCCGCCACATTACAAAATGACTAATAATTGCTTGGGAAGCTTTCAGAACTGCCCCGAGGCTTCCTCTAACACTCCA